AGCACGTTAGCGGCAAATGGTGGAAGCGAGACGGCGCCGTGCCAAGGCTTCCACACCATATCCCGTAGACGAAAGGGGCGTGGCCTTGCACTTGTTGTGAGACGCTTTTCTGGTGTGACCTTATTAATTGAGGCAGCTGTCATTACATCTAGTGCTGGGGAAATCTATGAGTATAGCTGCCCCAAAACGATGGCATTCCACAAGAAGAACAGCAGCCATCATATTCAAAATGAGTAGGCAGCCACTCCCTCTCCAGGTCCGAGATATGGAGTAGACGCATGCAAAAATGCCTCTACATGACGCACCATAGCGATGTATGATTTCTTTTGGGTTAAAGTAAATAAATGGATACTGGCAGAAATACCGTATTTTCCTTCGGTTTCGTATCCTCTAACTCCTTATCGTCGAAATCCGGAGTGGTATGTGGTCGGAAAGTGATAGTCTGAATTGATTCATTGATTGGTTCGAGTAGAGAGAAATTGAAACGTCAGCCTACGAACCTCGTTGGAGACTTCAAGTGGTTCCAGATCGTAATCTTCGAGTTCCTGCAGGTTTACAACAGGAATTATATGCCTACTATCACTGGTGGTCAAGAGGCTCCTCTATTGTCACCCCTTCAAGCGGGTCATTCGTCGTAGTTGTCGTCGTCGTCGTCGACGTCGTCGTTGTCGTTGCAGTCGTCGTCGTCGTAGGCGAAGGCAACCGAACGTCTTCACGGAAATCACTAGAAAATTTCAGAAATCTTTGAACTCTTAAATTGCTTGAACAAAGGAATCGATCAAATCAATAGAGAAAGCGGCATGAAATATAATTGTAATATAATATAATATATAATAAAATAAATAAAAAATGTGGATAATCATACCTGGTCTCCGTCGTCGGTACGGCCTCTTCTTCACCGATAGAACTCCAGTGAACCCCCTTCTGCCTTCGCGTGCTGTCTTTCTGCCTTGTTTTGTGAAGAGTTTTCCTAAAAGTCAGCAATTTTTGTTAGCTTTCATGACACCAAGAGCCTTACTGTGCTCAAGATTGTCTGCAAATACACCATTTTCACTTTAGGTTCACTTCAAACAGAAAAATCACCACTTTCCAAACCAAATTCACGTCTTTCAAATCAAAGTCACGACTGTTCGAACCAAATTCAAGACTCGGTTAACAGTACCTCACTAGAGACCACTGCAAGCCCCGCCCCCACAGCCACGCCCACATTTCAGCGTGGTCGTGGTCCTTCTATTTTATTTCAAAATTCTGGTTTTATAACTTCTGATTTTGTGACTTTTTGTGACTTTTATTATTTCGCACATGCACACTACTGAGAAGGACTATACATCGGCACATGGGCAGCTCCGCCCACTTTTGAAGAATTTGCCGCAAATTTCGACTCTTCGTAACTTTTTTCGACATCGTTGTTCTCAATCCACCCTTCACTTATCGAAAGGACTTGTAATCGCTCACTTATGCTGTGGCACATTAGCCTCCGCCCCTCCATCGCCCACTTTCTCGCTTTACGAGCTTTGATATTTTGATAGTTTTCAAAGTCTTGCGTTGTTGTACTGCAACATTGGGCTCGCACTATTGATTGCCCCGCCCATTGCAGAAGTCCGCCCACCCTTGAAAAATGGTGCAGATCGGCAGGGTGGAGTCGAGTCTCGGCTTGCATGCTAGGGTACTACTCGCCACTTAGAACAAAAAAAGCCAGCAAAAACTGTTTTTTTTTTCGTTTTCCATTTTCTGCGTTTCATGAGCACCATAGATATCCGCTGGGCGGCAGTATTTTGAGGTGAAAATTGGAAGAAGGGAAACTGTTGGGAATTTTCTCCAAAAACCGCTAGATGTCAGCGACAGCTGGCAAATTGTTGCTTGCGGGGATTCCCCAACAGGGGGGTTCAGCGGGTCGTATTTGCTCGCTGGGAGAGGGGGGGGGGTCGCTATTGGCCTGAAAAAAAATTCATTTTATAGTTGGATTTTCTTTTTCCTACCACGGACGTTGTAAAGGGGAGGGGTTGTAATTTCTATTGCAGGCGCTTCTTCCCCCCCCCTCGCCTCGACCCTCGATCAGAGGGAAACAGGGCTCCCCAACCAGTGATGTGCCTTGTGCTGGGAATATCGAGGGAGATGGTAGGTAGGATGGGGCAGGTGGGGGAGGGGGCTCGCACAAGAGGAGGGGCCCCTCGGGGTGGGGGAGCTGGGTCGCACTTTACAATTCTCGTCCAGCGGCAAGACGCGTCCCGCCTAAGTGTAATGTCCCCCTAAGTGATGAAAAAAGTTTACCTGGAGCAATACGCAAGCTGAATTTGGGCCTCGGTATTTCCGATTGCAGTCGTTGCGGGAGCGATACGACTGACAATGGATTCACTTCCAGTTCGCGCAATTGTCCTTGATCAACGAAATCATCGAAATCGACGTCACTGTCTGGTGGGAGTGGAGCATTCCTCTGAGAAAGAATCTTTCTCTCTTCATGCAAAATATCCTCATATATGGCTTCTTCCGGTGTTCGGACAGCTACCCTGGAATGATATGAATTTTTATCAAAATCCCTAAAGCTCAAGTGTAAAGAACCACCTCTTCGGAGAGGTGAAGACGTGCATCGAAGGGTTCAATGGTGCCACTGACATGTCATGAGATTGCAAATGGGGAGTTACTCTGAAACGACGAACGATCTCCCAGTTTGTATTGGCTTTAGCTGAAGGCATAGTCCACATCAGTCGTATGGGAGGAGACGGACAAGACAATCGCAATCTGTCTTGCATGCGGCGATTAGAAGTACCTCTTAGCCGATTGGAGCAACGAAGCTCACATGAAATCAAGTGGAGCCAAGATTCCACACCAAATACTGTAGATCTTTCAGGTCACCTTATTCAGATCCAAATGGGCTGCTAACCATAAGACAACTCGTTTCTTGGGCCCGGTGTTGCTCCCTTCCTCCTCCCCCTCCCACCAGAGGGCCACATTACGATTGTCTTGTTACCAAGGCACGTCCTACGCTGGGCAACCCCAGCGAGGGGGGTCGTATTTGACTGCTGCAGGGACTTAACAAGGTTTTTTGATAGACGATTTCTCCAGTTTCACGCGCGCTATGCTTAACGTTAGGAAACTGCTATATGGAGGGACAGGGCCGTATTTTGCACCCCCCTCCCTTCCCTTGTTGTCAAGGTCCTAAACAACTAGATTTGTGGATGGTTGAATTTAGTAGTCGTCCGGTGGCGATCCCCCCCCCCCACAAACCCCATCCCCTGCTCGACGACGGCAGTTTTTTTGAAAAAGAAACTGAAAAATTTCTTTGAAAAAGTGTGAAGAAATGGAGTAGGAGTGGAAGTTGGGTCAATAAGTTGGTAGGTAAGAAGGGGAAGGAGGGGTGTACCAGAGGAGAATATGGGGGGCACGTGTTTTGCAAGCTTCCCCCTGGAGGACAGGACCTGTTTGTCACATACCCTGGGCGGATTCCGGCCTTAAATTGGACCGTCTTTATTGGCGAGTCCTTTATTGGCGAGGCGGATAAGGAGGAGGCTGACACTTCTCCGCCCACAAGACCAGCGTGGAATGCGCGTTTGATTGAACTAAAACTCTTACCGTATCCTGTTCTTAAGTCGATTTTGAAATGGAATCGCTATATCGGTTAACATTTCGGTGTTCCTTGGATATGAGACAAACTGGTCTCTAAAGGCGCTGCTTGCTCGAAGTGCCTTTGTTGGAAAACCATCGCCAATCCATGGAGATTTTATTTTATAGACGGTTTTCTTAGCCGTTCGACCGATCGAATAGTGCTTGGTCTGAAATCATTTCACATTTATAATGGCCTTTCACAACGAATGGCAGAAAAATTAACTAGCAGTCGGGGTACAGCATCGTGATGTGTGAAATGGTAGTGTAGGTACCACCCCCCCCCCCCACCTCCAAGAGAAAGTCTCGGTACGATCCCCTCCCCTTCCCAACACCTACCTGCCAACTTCCCACAATTTCCAGTCCAGTTTTTCACCCGAATATTTTCTATCCACCGGGGAGGGGGGACCGGGGCAGGGTACATAGTACACATGAAACAGGCAAAATCACGCGAAAAGTCAACAACCGGGAAAAATTTGTTCCCAAGTGCAGCAAATTTTTCTCAAGTCGCACATACAACTCCCCCCCCCCCTTCTCCCAACGACCAAACACGATCCTCTCCCCAGCGGAAAAGTGCGACCCCCTATATGTTCCACACAACGATGCAGTACCCTGTCGGCAGTACCTTTTGCTTCGATGTTCCTTTCGTGGCGGATTTCTTACGGCTTACAAACGTAGAGAAAATTGACCATGGTCGCCGGATCATCGTTCTGCGATCAGAATCCACTGATTGGAGGTGATACGGCTTTCGGAATACGAAGAACGGCTTCAAGGTGGTGGTGATCGGAGAAGCGACTGGATGAGGGCTGTGCCTTGGCACCAGAGGTGCAGGCGTAGCAGACAGAAGAAAAGAATTTGGCCCTTCTGAGTGGGCAACAGCTGGAATTTACAGTTAAATAATCTTAATAGATGAAGCGGACAATAACTGACGAACTTACTGGTATATTCTCTTTCGGGGATTGCTGGTATCGGCGGTGCATGGTAAAAGTTCTGGTATGTCCGGTCGATTATCACATCAACTTGATAGGGAGGAAGAGTGGAAAAGCGAGACGCCACACGTCCATAACCACGTCTATGACGACTTTCATTGTCTAAGAGATGGTGGTGGTGTCTGACGCGAGCGATAGACGCTGTCCCTTCTACTAAATGAGCTGTAATGACACTGACTAGTTATTACCAATTTGAGCATTGAACTGACTTACCTCGGCCCAATTCTCTTTCCACAACGGGTGAAAACTGTTGGCTTGGGGTAAGCAATGGTATCTGGCGTCCAGCCTGGAAAAATGATAATAACTGCAAGTGACTGCCTTTAACTTACTGGACTGGACCCTCTGTAGGATAGGCTAGTCTGCAAGCTCAAAGACCGTATCTAATTGGCGAGCCATAGCTGGGAAGCAGAGGTGTCAGAGATAGTTAGTAGAGAAAAAAGTGGAAAAAGTCAAGAAATGGCCCTAGGTGTTCCAGCACTGGATAGCCCTGTAGAGGAGAGGAGCGCGCCAGTGAGGGTCCCGCCCTTGTTACTATTGCGGAATGCACCATTTTCTCCTTGTGACACCACTGGATACGTACAAGACAATAGTAATCGGGAATCGCGCTGAGCGCCACCACGCGAGAGGCGAGTTGCCTGCCGGGCCGTCTGACTATGAGTGTTACAGGACGAAAAGATCGACATCACTCGTATCTCATGAGGGCGCATGACTACGGGCGGGGGGGGGGCATTTTGCACTTATCTACTTTCCATCGACCGTGGCTTGACGACCTTGTTCCAGGTTCACAAGGGTTCACAGGTTTTGCCAGAATGAGACATGTAAATCGGAACTAAGGAAGCAATGATAGTACAAAATGCCCCCCCCCCCCCCCCCCCGTCGTCAAACTGCGCCTCCCATAAGTTTCACTACTGCGATAAGGGACGTCCTGCATTTGTGAAAATTTTTGTAAAATACGACACCCCTCTCAAAACCACCTCCTTTGGCGCAACCCCCTTTCCCCATCCTCCTTCTACCGACTGTCTTATTCCTAAGCTTCAAAGTTCCCCCAGATTCCTAAACCACTTTCAAATCAGGAATTCATAATTCAGAGTTTGAAAAATTTCCTTATTTTTTTTTCCCAAAAAAACCTGCCGTAGAAGTGGAGGGGGAGGGGGGGGGGGAGGGCGACACCAATCTTCTTTGGTAACTCTGAATAAATAACTTACCGCATAGCGTGGCACTGCAAACATGCGAGCTGGATATCGTTTCTTCAGCGATACTGCTCTGTTTCTGTAGTCACTTTTAGGTGGAGATCGTCGTATTTCACCATCCGTTCGTAAAGCACTGAGCCAAAATGGTGCCTTTGTAGAGTAGTTACTGGTTACATTCGCTGATTCCAGCAGCGCATCTACACGGCCAAGTTGGGATCCAGATGGCTAAATATAAATGATTCTGAATATATATATAAAGAAAAAGTCATTTCGGACGAATGAATGGATGGTTTGAAATAAAAAAAATTGCCGGGTTTTCAACGACACAGATTTGTTACGAAGTCCGGCAGATGAAAGGACAGTAAGCCCTGTACCATTTTTAGGTAAGAAGTTCATAAACTCGGACCAATCTTTTGGGTCTGGAACTGGTGATGCCCACACTTCACATTACGGGGGTAGGGAGACATCTACGGGGTCATTTAATTGGTGCCAGAATTCTCAAAGCCCGGCTTTTAATCTTTATCCGACAGTGGATCAGGACAGCGTGCATAGATGTAACTTTTCCACGAATCCGAACCAATCAGGAGCTTGGGGCAAGCCGTCCCCTCCCAAAACGTACCCAACTTTACTTCTGTAAGGGGCATGCTTACTTATAAAAACGGAGACCGTATGACGGGAGGGATGGATGTGCAGCAATAAAGCGTTATAACAGTTTTGCTTCAGAAAGTCATAAGGTTAAAACCCGCGATCATTCGCCATCACAGATAGTGGGTTAGGGATCTGTATATAGACGACAAGGTGCTGAGTAACTCGACAGTGAAGAAAAAAGCAGAAAAACATGCCAGCTGCCCTAGATAGAACCCCATTTTGATCCCAGTTTGTACGTGCCCAGTTAACTCCATTTCCTACACTGCGCCCACATCCGCACAGCTGATTCCCCTGCAAGAACTATGGCCATACAAGTGACGTTTTTCATGCTTTTCCGTGTTTTTCACTGAAAGGCGGGCCTTGAAGGCGGAATCTGGAGGCGGAGTCACTGGAAAAAAGGAGGCGTCACTGAACCTATATTGCGCTATAGCGCCCCTCCCTTACAATTTTTTGCCGCGAAACCGGTACAAGGTTGTTCGTCGCGGACCACACTACCCTCCCGACGCCATATTTTCAGCTTGGATACCAGATTGCAGACCGCGCCTTTAAACCAAGTGATCCCGACCGTGCTGGTTTCTGTCGTTTCCTCCGCTTACATATTTTCTCGCTGTTCCTGTCTGGTCTCTCGCCCGATGTCTCCATGAATCATCGCTCATCCCTCAGAACAAGAGGGTCTTAATTAGTGCTTTTTAGGATTTTCTGTGCTCCATTTTACGGGTAATTTAATTAACATATTCACTTCTGTTTTTCTGCCCCCAAAACGTTCCGACAGCTAACGGCAAAATGAGCCTTTGAGCAATCCACATGAACATGCTTCCTTCCAGCTTTTTCCGGGCACAAGTGAGCGCACCTTTTAGGGAAAGATGCTCAATTACGAGAAAATGACCTGGAAGGAGTGTCCCAACCTCCACATTGGCCCGCAATAGCCAAGAGGTGCATAATGGCTATTCCAATCCAAAAAAAGAGCTACCTTTCATTACAATAGACCGAATCTGTGGAGAGAAAAGGGGACCTACCGATGCTTCTTCCGAAAATTCTTCTAATCCTTCAAGCAGGTTCATCACAGAGGTGAGAGCCTGCACTTGGTTTTTTGTCGTTGCATTGTTGTCACTGCTGAAAGGCAAAAAAACAGTTCATGGCCTCACTCTCTGCAAAGGTAGGGCGCAGTTCGGCTACGTGGGGAGGGGGGGGGCAATTTGTACTTTTGCTACTTCCCATCGATATGTCGACCTATTCAGACAGCCTCGTCTCGCGTTGACAGGTTTTACCATGATGGCTCGACGACCTTGCTCCAGCTTCACAAGAGGTCACAGGTTTCACCAGAGTGAGGCTTGGGATCCGGAACTAGTGAGGCAACAAAAGTACAAAATGCCCCCTCGCCGCCGAACAGCGCTCAAAGGTAGTTCTGTAATAATAGTCCACGGGAATGATATGACTGATTACTGATTGATATCACAGATTAGATATCATTTTTAAAAAGTTCCGTAAAAAATAAATAAAATAATAATAAAAAAATAATAATAAAATCTACGGTTGAACCGTAGATTTTATTATTATTTTTTATTATTATTTTTCAACCGTAGAAAACCTTGTACTCTTCCCCGCTATATGAGCTAAAACGTTCAGTTTGATCTCTACGAGGCCTGTAACGGGGAGTGGATTGGAGTGCTGCCGAAGCGACCCTTTCCACCAATGACGTCATACTGAGTTCGCAGCAATCGGCGAGAAAGGCTGCGCTCCAAATCAGGCCCCTTCACACGCCCTATCGTTTGCAGGGATTATGACCATACCTGCTGTTGTTGACTGCATCCAAAGTGCCGATTTCGGAATAGCACCCTTGGAGAAGCGTAGCGACGGTTGTCTTCTGAGCAATTAACATTGACGAGATTTTCGTGGAGTGTTGCTGTTCTCCACATCTAGAAACAGAAGCAATCATGAAGGAATACGCCATGCCTTTAACATGCTTTCAGAGTTGTACGTGCCAGTTATTGCACAGTTGGGTTTCACAATGTCTTGCAAGAATGACGTACGTTTTAGAGACAGCGCAACACTTCCGTAAATCCTCACAGCGACTCGTGGTACCATGCTTGAGATCTTCACATGAAGGGCGTGATGGGATTTTGAGCTGCCCAGTGCACAAGCACATTCCCTGCAAATGAAAATTCGGTCTATAGAGCTTTGACATTTTCCGTTCAAATAATTGTGATAGCTTCTGATGGTGCGATTTCCTTGGAGGGAATTGATTATTTCTTGAAGTGACGCTGAAATTCCAGGAAATCCGTGCCCTAGACTGAATCAATTCGAGGAGGGGGTTTCCCCAACCCCTCACCTGGAACTTCTCAGCCTTTCCGGATGCCACCACGTTTGTCCGATATCCTTTCCACACAGAGCAGCTGGTCCATAACACACCCTGCTGTTGAGGAAAACTTTCGCCAAATATAAACCTCCCTCGTAAGTTCCCTCTCTGCCACGGCCTCCTTTCCTCATCCACGCTACCACGATTTAATTTTTTTTCAAAGTTTCCAAAAAATTAGCCTCTAGCGTGAGGGTGGAGCAGAACAAATTTCTCACAAGCAAATGCGTCCACTCCTACCTCCGCCGATCAAATGGGATCACCTCGCTGGGGATCTCCAGCATCCGTGCCCTAACTGGCCCACACTATGCTTCACAGGTGGAGTCGATACGTATTCATATTCGTCTGTTCTTCCAAACAAAATCTGTACCACTCGAAGGCACCGTCCATGCTGACGGTATGGGCGGGGTCAGGCTTAACACTGCGCCTTACTCATGCGCACTGCTCTCCACCATCTCAGAAAGAAAAGAGGGAAGTACATTGGAAAAAAAGTCTTTGCGTCTACCATCGATGCAGACACTGTCTCCAGGAAAGAAATAAGAATCAAAAAAGAAAAGAAAAAGAAAATTTTGTTCGACCACAGCGAGAGAATGGCCAGTTTATCCATTGCGCCACGTCCAAAGAGCGTAGGAGAAGTGCGCCAGATTTGTAGTTCAGCTCACCTCTGCGACAATTTCAGAATCATCGGCCGTATGTGCCTCCGTGGCGATGCAGTCGGCAAAGTCGCTCTCTCTTCTGATCACCAACGCCTTGAGCGACCTGGAAAAAACTTTCTTCTTTGGGATACAAGATGAGGAGGGAGAAGGATCATGGGATGTGCAGTTTCGAACGCTTATTTCGGGGTTATTCCCGAAGGGTGAAGGGATATGGCAGGCGATCTGGAGGCCATGCTCTGGTTACAGTCTTGTCAAGTCAAAAATATCTTCTATACAGCATCGACGTAGACCTACAAAATATAGTCTTTTTACAATTTATCTGGACCAAGACCCGCGCAGGAGCCGCCATAAGTCTGGACCAGAGTGAGTTGTATGGTGCGTTCCAAAAGGGTGCCACCTGACGACGAATGCTTTCTACCACTTCTACTCTCCATAAAATACTATCTATAGGCCGAGATAGGAGAACGTCAATTAAAATCTTATTCCTCGTTGCAGTAACTATTCAATTTCTGTATACATTGCTGGCATTCAAGGCAGCGGAAGAGCTCCAACGCAGGATTGAAAATTTTTCGGGATTCGCCATGCATCCTGCCCCTATTCAGAGTCGTATTAACATTGGAATGCAACTTGGTATTAGCAGAGATTAGCGGAGAGTATCTGCGGAAGACGACATTTTCCCTTTGTTCCACGAGAAAGATTAGGATCAGTCGACCTGGGATGGAAGGCTAGGTTGGGCTAGGCAGGAAGCGGTCCAAACTTTGAATCTCAGACCACATATGTAACAGTGGGACCACCTTGATCCTATTCCATTTACTGCTGTTCGTGAAAAAATTGAAAAATATAATTAATAGAAGTTGAGCCATTCAGGTAACCTATTCGCGACGATGCTCACTTCTTGTACTGACATCCAGTTTTGACTGTGACTATAGTCCTTGGCTGAACAGTCGTTAATCGTTGATCTGAAATCAGTCGGGGCGTGTCAGCGGGTCCATTTCTCACCACTCACTAAATGGCGAAGGCTGCAGCGTGATGGCGCTTAGCCTGTGCCCGCTGACACGCCCCGACTGACTTCGGTGAAAACTGCACTTTTCACAACAGGACACCTTGGTTCCCACCAGGATCGTGCTCCAAATCGTCTATCCTCAGTGGTGAACACAACTCTGTCGGGGAATGATTTAAGGACCCAGAGCTCAATTACCTGATGTGCCGTTCGACTCGGCAAAAGTCGGATAATAAAGGTCGATTGGCATCGACGCATCTCCAGCGTACTTCAATCTCATCACTTCGACACCGTAAATAGTCGGAACATTGTTGGACGGCACACTTAAAAATGATTTTCATGGAAAATTCTAAAAAATCGAAACTATCATTTGCCCACTGCTGCCCTGTTTTTTTTCAAGTTCAAGCTAGATCTTCAGCTTTTTCAATGCATATTATGGCTCTCTTGGGAGCACATTCCGCTACTGCTCATCGGAAAAGTCCCAGATCGCAGGGCTTGTCAAATGGAAAATGATTAGATGTCTAGCGTACAAAAAAAACCAAAAAAAGCAAAAAAATTAAAAAAAGAAAAAGGGCCCCGAATAGGACCCTCTTC